ACCAACAAAGAGGAAATTAGGGTACTGGACCTGGGATCAGATTTCTCTGTCGCCGGTAGGGCTGTACCCAAATATTCGGATATTCGAATATTCGTTTCTATGGGTAGGTATTCTTTATGAAAATTTGGTATTCGATATTTGTTTTTTTATTTACTTATTTTTTTTATTTTTTAATTTTTTTTTTTTTTTTTACATATTTTTTTGGTGCTAAATGTAGTCTTTTTGTTGTTGGTAAATATAGGTTACCAATAAAAATCAAAACTTTTAAATTGCATTGTTAAAAATGTAAAAATATAGTACAGCCGTGGCCAAAAGTTTTGAGAATCACACAAATATTAATTTTCATAAAGTGTACTGCCTCATTTTTTATGATGGCAATTTGCATGTACTCCAGAATGTTATGAAGAGTGATCAGATGAATTGCAATTAATTGCAAAGTCCCTCTTTGCCATGAAAATGAACTTAATCCCCCCAAAAACATTTCCAATGCATTTCAGTCCTGCCACAGAAGGACCAGCTGACATCATGTCAGTGATTCTCTCGTTAACACAGGTGAGAGTGCTGATGAGGACAAGGTGGAGATCACTTTGTCATGCTGATTGAGTTAGAATAACAGACTGGAAGCTTTAAAAGAGGGTGGTGCTTGAAATCATTGTTCTTCCTCTGTTAACCATGGTTACCTGCAAGGAAACACGTGCAGCCATCATTGCTTTGTACAAAAAGGGCTTTACAGGCAAGGATATTGCTGATACTAAGATTGCACCTAAATCAACCATTTATCGGATCATCAAGAACTTCAAGGAGAGAGGTTCAATTGTTGTGAAGAAGGCTTCAGGGCGCCCAAGAAAGTCCAGCAAACGCCAGGACCGTCTCCTAAAGTTGATTCAGCTGCGGGATCGGGGCACCACCAGTGCAGAGCTTGCTCAGGAATGGCAGCAGGCAGGTGTGAGTGCATCTGCACGCACAGTGAGGCGAAGACTTTTGGAGGATGGCCTGGTGTCAAGAAGGGCAGCAAAGAAGCCACTTCTCTCCAGGAAAAACATCAGGGACAGACTGATATTCTGCAAAAAGTACAGGGATTGGACTGCTGAGGACTGGGGTAAAGTCATTTTCTCTGATGAATCCCCTTTCCGATTGTTTGGGGCTTCTGGAAAAAAGCTTGTCCGGAGAAGAAAAGGTGAGCGCTACCATCAGTCCTGTGTCATGCCAACAGTAAAGCATCCTGAGACCATCCATGTGTGGGGTTGCTTTTCAGCCAAGGGACTGGGCTCACTCACAATTTTGCCTAAGAACACAGCCATGAATAAAGAATGGTACCAAAACATCCTCCGAGAGCAACTTCTCCCAACCATCCAAGAACAGTTTGGTGACGAACAATGCCTTTTCCAGCATGATGGAGTGCCTTGCCATAAGGCAAAAGTGATAACTACATGGCTCGGGGAACAAAACATCGAAATTTTGGGTCCATGGCCAGGAAACTCCCCAGACCTTAATCCCATTGAGAACTTGTGGTCAATCCTCAAGAGGCAGGTGGACAAACAAAAACACACAAATTCTGACAAACTCCAAGCATTGATTATGCAAGAATGGGCTACCATCAGTCAGGATGTGGCCCAGAAGTTAATTCACAGCATGCCAGAATTGCAGAGGTCTTGAAAAAGAAGGGTCAACATTGCAAATATTGACTCTTTGCATAAACTTACTGTAATTGTCAATAAAAGCCTTTGACCCTTATGAAATGCTTGTAATTATACTTCAGTATATTATAGTAACATCTGACAAAAAGATCTAAAAACACTGAAGCAGCAAACTTTGTAAAAACCAATACTAGTGTAATTCTCAAAACTTTTGGCCATGGCTGTATAGCCTACCAACGGAGCTTGTGTGCACGGCACGCTTGAGCGCATCCGTCTGAGGCTGTGGATCAATGCCAAGTTTTACCACTTAACCACTACTCCCTCTAACTTGTAGCTGTTTTTTCGTTATCTTTTGAATTTAATATGAATTATGGAACCGTTTTTGTCAACGTTTGATTCCCCCGTTTTGTACAATAAATTGTTTAAAGTTTCAACAAGTTTCTTCTGGAGTGCGTGACACAAGTGTGTTTTGAAAACAACCGCGGACTGTCACCTGCTCAACGCATCAGTACCTTCGGATGCCATGACAGTAATAGATTATAGATTATAATAATAATAATGTCAAAATATCATTTACAGACCGATTTAACAGACAATTACTGCTGCCCGAACCGCAGGTCCATTTGCGGCTCCCGCGGGTTACGGGTCGACCCGCGCATCACTACTCAGCTCAGTCTATAAATGCTCCTACACAACAGTAGGCTATAGACATTATATTCTATTCAGGCCGGCAGAACCAGCAGCTCATCAGCTCTACAGTGCACGGCACTGCTGATTAACCATTTTATTGCAGCACAGAGTGTCTGCCAGCAACCAATTACTTGCAGAGGCTTCCTACAACTTGTTTCAGCGGTTCCGATTTAATCAGAAGACAAATTAAACAGGATGACTAGCCAATGTGAAAATCAAAAGAAAGCATAGAATAATGTACTGAAGGAGACTGTTGTGCCATCACATTTTTTGTGGTTTGAGAGCAAAGATCCAGTCGCTGCTGTGCAAAACGCAATATAATTAGATCTGAAAAAACCCCGGAGGAGTGCTTCGCATGGAGTCTTTGAAAGGAGCCGAGCCTGGCGTAAAACCGGAGAGAGCAGGCAGCACGGCCACAGCACGCACCCGTTCGTTCCTGCTGCTGGTTGAAATCTGGACTCGCACTTGTGCTGAATGATTTATTTTGCTGGCACAAAACTATTTTTCGTTGCAAATGCGAGTAAAATGCTCGCACGTAGAGCTCTGTGGAAAACAAATCACTGCCGACAAGTAAAAAGTCATAAATAATAACTTTCACTGCTCAAAGATACTCATGTCTGGAAAACAAACCACTACAGCAGCATATTGAGTGTCAGGTGGCCAGCGCGCGCGCCGTTAAGCCCTTTTCACACAGAGCGCGCAAAGCGCAGACCTCCGTTGACGAACCCATTCATTGTGTATGTGCTACCGCCAACGTGCGCCGTTATTGGACGGCGCATGGACACTCACAGAAAAGTGCCGCGAGAATTAAAAAAAGAAAAGAAAGAAAGTCAGATTAAATATTCCTTCCGCAACAATTTTAAGACCTTTGAGTAATGAATTTAAGACCAATTTAAGACATTTCTAATTAATTTAAGACATTTTCAGGCCTTACTTTTAGATACATGAATTTAAGACTTTTTAAGACTTTTCAAGGATCCGCTGGTACCCTGAATATGGTGGCGCTGCAGACGTATTGTTGCAAGGGGCTGACACAGTCAATGCAGCGTTTACATGTCTATGATTCTGCAACCTTGGGCATGCGTGCCACCATTGGCACACCGTGTAAGTAATAGCACGCTAGCAATAAGTATGCAAGAGAGTTTTTCTTAAATGTTAAAGTGTAGAGTTTCCCCAGGTGGCTCAGGCATCTGGTAAGGATGCCTTCCGGACACCTCCCTTGGGAGGTGTTTCGGGCATGTCCAACCGGGAGGAGACCTCGGGCCGCCCCAGGACACGCTGGAGGGACTACATCACCCGGCTGGCCTGGGAACGCCTCGGGGTTCCCGCGGAAGAGCCGACGGACGTGGCTGGGGATAGGACTGTCTGGGCTTCTTTGCTGAGGCTGCTGCCCCCGCGACCCGGACCCAGATAAGCGGAGGACGACGAGTACGAGTACGAGTAAAGTGTAGAGTTTCCCACACTTATTCATTTGTGGTGGCCTGTCACGGTAACAGCATCTGCCACCATGTATTGGTTTTATTGTGGAGCTGGACCGTTCATGAGGAGCGCTGTTCTAATATATAATGCCTATTCATTCATTCATTCATTCATTCACTTAAGCGCTTATCCTGTTAGGGGTCGCAGGGTAACACTGGGCATGAGGTGGGGTACACTTTGGACAGGTCACCAGACTGTCACAGGGCTGACACATAGAGACAGACAACCATTCACACTCACATTCACTCCTACGGACAATTTAGAGTCACCAATTAACCTGCATGTCTTTGGACTGTGGGAGGAAGCTGGAGTACCTGGAGAAAACCCACGCTGACACAGGAAGAACACAGATTCATCTGAATTGCTTCAAACCCCCCACCCTGGGTTCAAACCAGGAACCCTCTTGCTGTGAGGCGACAGTGCTAACCACTGCACCACCGTGCCGCCTTAAGAACAGCCTACTGTTTGGTTATTCATTGTATGTGTACTCTGGGTGAAGACGGCACAGCAGAACGCCAGACAAAGTGAAAGTGAAATGTAACCGTTCATTGTGTTCACTCACAAACAGCTGCTCCTCTCGTCCATCAATCTGATCTGACCAACTCTGATCTGATCTGACCGGATTGACAGATCAATTATCCACCCTGTGACTCAAAGTCCACTGCTGGCGAGAAAAAAGAGCTCATGAAAAGTTTTGTGCTGCATTCAGGGACCAGCAAAAACTTCCAACTTTAGAAGAGGGACACACAATAACGAAAGGGGACAAACACACAAACACACAAACACACACACACGTAAAGTTTGCAACTTCGGCAATGCACTTGATGAGAATGTGGATGTAAAATGAAAAACCATGTTTTGCAGTCAGAGTAAGAAACTGTGATTTGACTGTCAGGGAGGAGCTCTGCCACTGCCTCAAACAACAGAAGGTGAGGACATAGCACATGTTGTTCTGGAGCATTTTAAGGAACAAAGGATTAACACCATCATGATATGGCACACCAAAAATGGTGCTTCATATCAGAAAAGTTGCCAGCCCTTGGTTTACAGCTTGTTCACTGCCCTCTAGTGGCCACACCAAACGCAAGTCACTGCAGGTTTGTATTATTGTTTAAGTCATAAAATTAATCTATAACATGCATAGCTATTGTATATGCAGCAATGCTTAACACAGCTGTGTTGTGTTTTCCTCACCGTGACCTTCCTGCCCTCCTGCCCCTGCTCTACCTCCTCCCCATCTTCCTCTTCCTCCTCTTCGTCATTGAGGTACAGGACATTCTGGACGCCTGCGTGACCTGGACGGACCTCCAGCCGTTCCCAGTCGTCCACGTCACCTGAGGACAAACCGCAGCACAGTGTGATTCACTGAAGGCTTTCATGTGCAGAGCGGATGAATAGTTGATACCAGGCCAGGAAACACAAGTCGAGAAGTAAGACAGCAAAACATGTTAATTAATGCCACAACCTGAGATGCTTTGTTTTGTTAGTGGGCCCTAAAATGAGGTTAGATTACACTAGTTGATGTCTTTGAGTTGTTATCACAGGTTTGGTAATTTGAAACGGATTTACTGAAACCACCTGAGAGCAGGAAAGCCTATATTTGTCCATCATGGAAAGTGGGGGGGGTGAGAATTTCCCGTTGAAGTGACTGCTCTGTTTTCAGTGCGGGGGATTTTGGTTTGCATCCAATTTCTTTCCCACATGCAACACAATAAACTCAGTTAAGACCGAATGTTGCCTTACGCTAAACCACGATAAGCAGGTTAAGGAGCGCACCCTCCCACAGACACACCAACCACTTTAATGAGTGATGGAGTAATTGCAGCACCTGAACCCTCTGCCCTCACCTTCTCCGTCCAGGATGTAGTCTCGTGGAAACATGATGCCGCAGCCCATGATGTCACCTTTGAAGCAGCGAGGGCCGAAAGCATCTCCGACCCCGCTGCCGTGGAAGATCTTGCCGTCATCTGTCAGAGAAGAGGTGAGAAAGGCACTTTAAATTGTGCAGATATTAGTTAATTCTTACTTTACAACAGTGGTGGAATGTAACTAATTATATTTGCCAGAGTACTGTACTCAAAGGGCGGGTTCATGTGAAATGTTTCAGAGCACTGATAACAATGACTAAAAGGGTTAGTTGAAGTTTATTTGAACATTTAGATAAAAAGAACAGAGAAAAGTAAAAAATAATGAAAACAGTTTAAATGTGCAGGTGAGGTAGAAACCCAGAAAGGGCTTTTTCCTGGTGCCTCACCTAAAGGGTGGATTAAAACGTACAGATTTAAAAATACAACATGATGCAAAGTAAAATGTCAATAAAGTTACATATCTTCCACACAATCTACCACACAAATAAACAGAACATCAAATAAACCAGTTATGATTTATACAGTACCACATCTATTTGTCATTAACCCACTTTTAAGTTTCTTTTCGTATTAAGATAAGGACATAGAGTCAGTTAAAAAGCTCAGTATCTCAATGAATACTGTCCTCTTGATGTCTGATTCATTGGTAGATAAAAGTTATTGTCTAGTTGGATAAAAATTAAACTGAGAATTACAGATAAAAAATCATTAAGCTTTCTGGTAAGTCATATTTGAAGTAGGTTAATATCAGAAATAGACATAGATTTTATGAGGTACTTATTTATAGTCAGTGTAAAATTTTCACTTCAATTAAAGCCCAATATCACAAATCACAATTTGCCTCACAGGGCTTTACAGCATACGACATCACTCTGTCCTTTGGACCCTCGCAGCAGACAAGGAAAAACTCCCCCCAAATAAACCTTTAACGAGGAAAAAAAAAATCGTAGAAACCTCATGAAGAGCAACTGAGGAGGGATCCATCTTCCAGGACGGACAGACGTTCAATAGATGTCATATAATAAATTTACAGTGATCCATATGACAAAATGTTACATAAAGATATTTGCTGCTACCTTGCCGTCAGACGTCCCTTTCTGACGGGGAACTGAAGCCATTATCTCTCTTCAAAGTCACCAAACTCCTTTGACAAAAACTACAATTTCAACTTGCAAAACAGAGTTGCTGCACGTCAGCCGTGATCAGTTAGTCTGTGTTACTGTGTCACTTTCGGATCCAAACTAACGTGCCATCCACAGCAGTACATCGCTTAGCTTTCATGCCGGTTCAGAGGTTAGAGGAATAAAGTTAATTTGGAGGATTGATAATAACACACAATTCGCAAAGACGGCTTGGCTCCGTCACAAAAGTGGGTCAGTGTGTTTATAAGTAGCAAGCATTGAGGTCTTCTTGCATGTAACTGTAGAGGTTGAAGCTAACTCAGCTATGTGATGTCTGGATTTGATCTTTGTCAGGGTTAGGGATGATCTTACCTGGTGATTTGATCAAACAGTTGTAAATGTCAAAGTGTCACTACTGGCCATTCAGTGGGATCATCTCTCCAACATAAGCAAGGTAAGGAGAAGGGACAGTGACATGGACCGTCGATATGAGTTTGTCAATGTAACTTGTCCTGTGGTTGACATAAGGTGCTGTAATAATCCTTTGACATGCTGATATCTAATGTTTATAGCTAGCTACAGACTTATTTTGTCAGTGTTTCAGTTCTTGGTTGCATACTGTGGCGCTGATAGTTTTCCCCTTTAGGTGGGTGTATGACACATTGCGCTGTGTCTCTATAATCAGAACTGCGTCCATAAAAACAGCCTCTTAATCATAGCTATGGTCTGTTCTTTAGAAATAACAGACCATTGAATGCCTTAACTGATCAGAATTGTGCATTCAACAAAGCTGTGCAATAATCTATGACAATACCACATGGAATGTAATTTATCACCTGTTTTACGAGTATAAATGATGAAGCAAGATGGAAAGCCAGTACAGACAATACCGTCTACAATTAAACTAACTGAGCTTTAACGTCTCCTGGCAGCCTGCGATCAGATACAAAAACATTTAATAACAAACATTACTGCTTACTGCAGGCAAGAGATGATATCTGAGACTTTTGTAAATCAAATTCCAGGTTTAATACCATCTAAGGCCTCTTTTAAGGAAATGCAGGTCTTGAAAAATCTTCAAAAGCCTTATATTTGGAAACCCTGAGTGAGGTTATTTTTGCTCCTCCGTTATGTTTCCCATTGCTGAACTGGGCTGACATAAATTTCACTGTCTTTTAATGTGTTTACCACAGCGTGCAACATGTGTACATATAATGTAGTGCTAACACACAGGACATCCTGGCATTCCTGTCATTTTATGATGTGTAAAAAAAAAAAAAAAGGCGAAAGCAGCGCTAGTAAAAACAAAAAAAGACATCAACATCCAAAGGAAATCATCAAAACAACACATACTACAGTTGCGAGAGACAACAATGGAAAAAAAGGGCAAAAGAAAAACATTGCAGAGGTAGCCTGCAGACAAGCGCTCCTCAAGCGAAGCGGCGTGGCTGCTGCTGGTAAATATTTATGGAGTTGTCATGGGACCCGTCCCCGGCTCAGGATACTGTTTAAACAATCTCTATCTGAGCACCGGGAGGGAGACGGAGACACTGTATCATTACAGCTCCCATGCGGGCCCTTGTCACAACACCACACACTAGGCAAACAGTGGGGCCACGCCGGCACAGGCGCAGAGTCGCTAAAAATAGCAGAGCAGGGCTGGCGCTGGAGGTGAGCTGGCGGTGTGGAAGTCCAGGTTTGGGCCTAAGGATGGAGCTCGTTCACTGGGACAGGAAAGGTGGGAGAAGCCTGGCAGAGAATCAAGGGCTGCGGCTGGAGGGATGTTCGCTGGAGGCAATCTTCAAAATTCTCGCACAGTTTGTTCGCAGTTTTATTTGAAGTCTATTTGTGGTTTCGCTAACTCCGAATACATTAACAGTTTGAAGACTTTACAACTAAATCAGTTCCTCTAATTATCCTTAATACATATGACTGATGTTCTCCCTTTAATTTAACAGATGGTGACTAAATGACAATCGGATTTTTTTGTTTTGCGTTTGCTACTGTTTATTTCTTGAGTGTCCTTAATACATGATGAGATCAGGGCTCAGATGATACTACACTAAACAAAAATATAAAGCAACACTTCTGTGTTCGCTCCCATTTTTTTATTGAGATTAAGTTTAACATCTAAAACATTGTCTTTGCACACTGTTTTTTTTGTTAGTGAGCTGATTAAACAGCATCACTACTAAACAGGTGTTCTTTGGGATGCTCACAATTAAAGGCCACTCTAAAATGTGCAGTTTGACCACACAACACAATGCCACAAATGTCCCAAGTTCTGAGGGAGCGTGCCATTAGCATGCTGGCTGCAGAAATGCCCACCAGAACTGTTACCCTTGAACTTAATGTTCCTTTCCACACATTAAGACATCTCCAATGTTATTTCTGTGAATTCTGCAGTACATTCAACCGGCCACACAACCACAGACCACATGTAACCATACCAGCTCAGGACCTCTACATCCAGCATCTTCACCTGCTGGATCGTCTGAGACCAGCCACCTGTATAGCTGAAGCAGTAATTGCTTTGCACATTCGAACATTTTCTGCACAAACCTCAGAAACCAGGAAGCTCAGGGAAGCTGATCTCCGTGGCTGCTCTTAAACAATCTTGCAGTTGGAAATGCTGCATGTGGAGGTCCTGAGCTTGTGCGCTTATACGTGGTCTGTGGTTGTGAGGCTGGTTGGACGTACTGCCAAATTCTCAGGAAACGACATTGGAGATGTCTTATGGTAGTGAATGAACATTAATTTCAGAGGCAACAGCTCTGGTGGACATTCCTGCAGTCAGCATACCAACAGCTCGCCCCCTCAAAACTTGTAACATCTGTCACATTGTGTTGTGTGAAAAAACATTTGAGAGTTGCCTCCTATTGTGACCATCCCTTGGCACACATGGGTAGTAGTGAAGCTGTTAAATCTGCATCTGTATATGCCCCACCTCAGGTGGATGGAGGATTACGTTGACTCATTAACACGGATTACAACAAATCTTTGAACAAAAATAGAGATAAATAAGCTTTCTGTGTTTCTTTGTGTGTGTCTGTTTTTCATTTTTTTTAAGCAACCATTCATTCATTCATTCATTCATTTTCCGTTACTGCTTATCCTGTTGGGGGTTGTGGGGGGCCTGGAGCCTATCCAGGTGGGGTACACCCTGGACAGGTCACCAGTGTCACAGGGCTGACACACAAAGACACAGACAACCATCCGTGTTTATATTCACACCTATGGCCAATTTAGAGTCACCAATTAATTTAGCATGTCATTAGACTGTGAGAGGAAGCCGGAGTACCCTGAGAAAACCCACGCTGACACAGGGAGGACATGCAAACTCCGCACAGAAGGGCTCCCCCACCCTGGGATTGAACCAGGAACCCTCTTGCTATGAGGCAACAATGCTAACCACTGCATCACTATGCCACCCAGGGCAGCAGCAGAGACCGAGATATCCTGAATTTTAGGCACTAGTATGTATGGGTCCATAGATGTATGGCTGTTTCCCACCACTACCGCTCATGAATGTTTTTAATTATTAGACCCCCTCCTGATGAGTAAACTGAACTTATAAAGTTTAATCAATTATTTGGAAGAAATAATGGATTAAAGCACTACATTTTTCCTGGTACAATAAACACTTCTTGTCAATAATCTCATCACACCACAACCTGTAAGTAACAGTGAAATGAGTTTTGGCTGGCAGTGGTGGAAGGCTATTTTTGTCTTTGAGCATACAACAAAAGTGTTCTGTTGCTTTTCTCAAGTGTGCTTTGGTACTTAAAAAGGTTGGAAATCGAGATTCAGGAAGCCAACTCAACTTGGAGCTCAGCTGTGGTGGAAAATGTTAAAAAATCGTGTTGGAGACTTCAGGGTTTAAAATTAGCACAGAGGTGTTGACCAAGGTTTGGCTCCGAGGCCGGTGAGAGTGTACAGAGCAGAATACTGGTGGTGGTGTTAATGCAAAAGTCAAGA